TTTTTTTTTTTTTTTAATTTTCATAAAAGTCCTGTAAATCAAATGTTCTAAAGTAGGATGTTAACACTGCTTTAATGGACAGTGAACGAATATGTTTGATACGTAACGTTAATATGGCCCAGAAACATAGGAACTTAATTAGCATGGGTATAATTGGAGATTTATTTTATTAGTATGACATTTGAACATAACTGGAAGTTAGTTCAATTAAGTGCCACTTTGATCCATGATCATAGCAGGTTTGTAGTATTGTTATAGTCAGTGATCATTGGAGGTTGGTAGAATAACTATAGTTCGTGATCATTTCAGGTTGGTATCATTATAATAGTCCGTGATCATTGGAGGTATGTAGTTTTATTATAGTCCGTGATCATTGGAAGTTTGCAGTTTTATTACAGTCCGTGATCATTAGAGGTTTGTAGTATTATTATAGTCCGTGATCATTGGAGGTTGACAGTATGATTATAGTCCGTGATCATTGGTGGTTTGTAGTATTATTATAGTCCGTGATCATTGGAAGTTTGTAGTTTTATTATAGTCCGTGATCATTGCTGGTTTGTAGTATTATTACAGTCCGTGATCATTGGGGATTTTTAGTTTTATTATAGTCCGTGATCATTGGAGGTTTGTAGTATTATTATAGTCTGTGATCATTGGTGGTTTGTAGTTTTATTACAGTCCGTGACCATTGGTGGTTTATGGTATTATTGTAGTCCGTGATCATTGGTTGTTTGTAGTTTTATTATAGTCCGTGATCATTGGAGTTTTGTAGTATTATTATAGTCTGTGACCATTGGTGGTTTGTAGAATTATGATAGTCCGTTATCAATTGCGGTTTGTAGTTTTATTACAGTCCGTGATCATTGGTGGTTTGTTGTATTATTATAGTCCGTGATCATTGGTGGTTTATGGTATTATTATAGTCAGTGAGCATTGGTTGTTCGTAGTTTTATTATAGTCCGTGATCATTGGTTGTTTGTAGTTTTATTATAGTCCGTGATCATTGGTGGTTTGTAGTATTATTATAGTCCATGACCATTGGTGGTTTATGGTATTATTATAGTCCGTGATCATTGCTGGTTTGTAGTTTTATTATAGTCCGTGATCATTTGTGGTTTGTAGTATTATTACAGTCCGTGACCATTTGGTGGTTTATGGTATTATTGTAGTCCGTGATCATTGGATGTTTGTAGTTTTATTATAGTCCGTGATCATTGGAGGTTTGTAGTATTATTATAGTCCGTGATCATTGGTTGTTTGTAGTTTTATTACAGTCCGTGATTATTGGAGGTTTGTAGTATTATTATAGTCTGTGATCATTGGTGGTTTGTAGAATTAATTAGTCCGTTATCAATTGCGGTTTGTAGTTTTATTACAGTCCGTGATCATTGGTGGTTTGTTGTATTATTACAGTCCGTGATAATTGGTGGTTTGTAGTATTATTACAGTCCGTGACAATTGGTGGTTTATGGTATTATTATAGTCCGTGATCATTTGTTGTTTGTAGTTTTATTATAGTCCGTGACAATTTGAAGGTGGCAGTATTACTTTGATCCATGAATATAAGAAGTTGTTTGTATAACTGTGGTCTATGAACATTGAAGGTTAGTAGTTATATTATAGTCCATGATCGGAGGTTTGTATTATTATAATATTCCGTGATCATTGGAGGTTGGCAGTAGTAATATAGTCCGTGATCATTGGATGTTTGTTGTATTATTATAGTCCATGATCATTGGAGGTTTGTAGTTTTATTATAGTCTTTGAGCATTGGAGGTTGGCAGTATTATTATAGTCCGTGATCATTGGTGGTTTATGGTATTATTACAGTCCGTGATCATTGGTTGTTTGTAGTTTTATTATAGTCCGTGATCATTGGTGGTTTGTAGTATTATTACAGTCCGTGACCATTTGGTGGTTTATGGTATTATTATAGTCCGTGATCATTGGATGTTTGTAGTTTTATTATAGTCCGTGATCATTTGTTGTTTGTAGTTTTATTATAGTCCGTGATCATTGGTGGTTTGTGGTATTAGTATAGTCCGTGATCATTGGAAGGTGGCAGTATTACTTTGATCCATGAATATAAGAAGTTGTTTGTGTAAGTGTGGTCTATGAACATTGGAGGTTAGTAGTTATATTATAGTCCATGATCGGAGGTTTGTATTATTATTATAGTCCGTGATCATTAGAAGTTGGCAGTATGATTATAGTCTGTGATCATTGGAGGTTTGTAGTAATTTTATAGTCCGTGATCATTGGAGGTTATTAATATCATTATATTTCGTGATCATTGGAGGTTTGTAGTATTATGATAGTCCGTGATCATTGGAGGTTTTTGATTTTAATTGGTCTGTGATCATTTGAGGTTGGTAGTTTTATGATAGTCTGTGATCATTAGAGGTTGTCGGTATTATTACAGTCCGTGATCATTGTAGGTTTGTGGTATTATTATAGTCCGTGATCATTTGTTGTTTGTAGTTTTATTATAGTCCGTGACAATTTGAAGGTGGCAGTATTTCTTTGATCCATGAATATAAGAAGTTGTTTGTATAACTGTGGTCTATGAACATTGGAGGTTAGTAGTTATATTATAGTCCTTGATCGGAGGTTTGTAGTATTATTATAGTCCGTGATCATTGGAGGTTGGCAGTATGATTATAGTTCGTGATTATTGGGAGTTTGTAGTATTATTATATTCCGTGATCATTGGAGGTTTGTAATAATTTTATAGTCCGTGATCATTGGAGGTTATTAATATCATTATATTCCGTGATCATTGGAGGTTTGTAGTATTATGATAGTCCATGATCATTGGAGGTTTTTAGTTTTATTAGTCTGTGATCATTTGGGGTTGGTAGTTTTATGATAGTCCGTGATCATTAAAAGTTTGTAGTAATATTATAGTCCGTGATCATTGGTGGTTTGTGGTATTATTATAGTCCGTGATCATTGGAGGTTGACAGTATGATTATAGTCCGTGATCATTGCTGGTTTGTATTATTATTATAGTCCGTGATCATTGAAAGTTTGTAGTTTTATTATAGTCCCTGATCATTGCTGGTTTGTACTATTATTATAGTCCGTGATCATTGGCGGTTTGTAGTATTATTATAGTCTGTGATCATTGGTGGTTTGTAGTAATATGATAGTCCGTGATCATTGGTTGTTTGTAGTTTTATTATAGTCCGTGATCATTGGTGATTTGTAGTATTATTACAGTCCGTGATCATCGGAGAGTTGTAGTATTATTATAGTCCGTGAACATTAGTTGTTTGTAGTATTATTATAGTCCGTGAACATTGGAGGTTTGTAGTATTATTATAGTCCGTGAACATTTGAGGTTTGTAGTATTATTATAGTCTGTGATCATTGGTGGTTTGTAGAATTATGATAGTCCTTGACCATTGGTTGTTAATGGTATTATTATAATTCGTGATCATTGGTTGTTTGTAGTTTTATTATAGTCCGTGATCATTGATGAATTGTAGTATTATTATAGTCCGTGATCATTTGTTGTTTGTAGTTTTATTATAGTCCGTGATCATTGGAGGTTGGCAGTATGATTATAGTTCCTGATTATTGGAAGTTTGTAGTATTATTATATTCCGTGATCATTGGAGGTTTGTAGTAATTTTATAGTCCGTAATCATTGGAGGTTATTAATATCATTATATTCCGTGATCATTGGAGGCTTGTAGTATTATGATAGTCCGTGATCATTGGATATTTGTAGTTTTATTAGTCTGTGATCATTTGAGGTTGGTAGTTTTATGATAGTCCGTGATCATTAGAGGTTGTCGGTATTATTACAGTCCGTGATCATTGGTGGTTTATGGTATTATTACAGTCCGTGATCATTGGTGGTTTATAGTTTTATTATAGTCCGTGATCATTGGAGATTGGTAGTATTATTATTGTCCGTGACCATTGGTTGTTTGTAGTTTTATTATAGTCCGTGATCATTCGAGATTTGTAGTATTATCATAGTCCGTGATCATTGGAGGTTGTCGGTATTATTACACTCCGTGATCATTGGAGATTTGCAGTATTATTATAGTCCGTGATCATTGGTTGTTTGTAGTATTATAACAGTCCGTGATCATTGGAGGTTTGTAGTATTATTATCGTCTGTGATCATTGGTGGTTTGTAGAATAATTATAGTCCGTGATCATTTGATATTTGTAGTTTTATTACAGTCCGTGATCATTGGAGATTGGTAGTATTATTATTGTCCGTGACCATTGGTTGTTTGTAGTTTTATTATAGTCCGTGATCATTCGAGATTGGTAGTATTATTATTGTCCGGGATCATTGGTTGTTTGTAGAATAATTATAGTCCGTTATCATTCGAGACGTGTCTCTATTAACCAGATAACTAAGTGTGCTCCAGTAACACCAGACTACATGTCCTCGTTCTCTTTGATATGGAGATGAAGTTAGTGATTAATACATGTATCTACTAAATTCTGCGAATAGTTTTGTCAACATGTTTTCATTCGATCAAATTGTATCACTTTGATATTAATTGTAGGACAACGAAAAGGAAACGTTTTTACAATTTATCTTATTGTGATTCTTTAATTGATTTCAGGTCGAGTCACATGGTTGCATTATACTTTATTAGATACTAAACTTTCTTCAGCTATCAAAACAGTTTGAACAGTATCCTGACATAATTGTTGATCTAAACCAACAACATTAGTATCATTTTAACAACTGTTACGAAATGCATTTCCATGTGATTTTTAAAAAACCAACAATTAATAATTATAAATATGGCTGTTCATCAAAATCTTCGTACTTAAACGCATCAGTAACTAGAGAATCAATAGTCATCTGGGGTTCACTTGTTCAGAGCCATATATACAGATTTCAAACACAACTGGTTTAAAATGTCAATTGTTTTGATTTTCTCAGCACTTTGATATTTTCTTTTCCTCGTGAATTTTGCTTTTAGTATGTCTATATCTCAACTTTGGTTTTGTAGAAATCCACCATGGCTGGTCTGTGTATAAAGTGCTGTCGGTCCGTTAAGCACCTGCCTACAAGGTTGATCTGTGTCCTGATCATACTCCTACAGGCGGCCGGCCTAGACTACTACCTCGTCACTTACAAAAACCTCAACTGGGCAGGCTGGGCGGCTGCTGACATTGTCATCCTCCTCCTCCTCCTCATCACCTTCTACTTTGGCTACAGATTTCACCGTCAACAGAAGGCTTCCGGAGGAGAGGATGAAGAAGACATAGAACTTCACACACGTGCCGGTGTTGTGACCTGGTTTGTTTATGCAGCAGTTTTATGTTTCAAAGTGTCTTATGCATTTAAAGATTTTTCACACAAGTTGGATGAAAGTGATTTCTTTGGACCGAATACTCTTAAAACGACCATAGCGTTAGCTGGAATAGTGTTTCTGATTCTACTCACCACGCTACACGACGCAAAGCCAGGTTCTAGCAGGCGAAAGTACATTGATGAGCTGACAGGAACTGTCATATTCGACATTTTGGATTGTGTAGACAGCATGGAGATCTTATTCGACGAAGAAGCACGGCGTAGTATTTTACCAAGTCTGGATGATACTATCATAGGCATTGCATGTATAAACTTTTTGTTGCCAACAATTCCACTGATAACGTTATCGAGGACAAATTTCGGGCATAAGAAACTATCGCAGAAGATGGTGATTCTACATAAAGTGTTGCTGGCGTTCGTTGTGAATCTGCCTCTCCTGATCACCCGTATGGTGATATGGCATGGCATGAGTCACGGTATTTCTATATTTTCTTTGAAAAACATCATTGTTATAGGCATTGTGTCCTATGACCTTTACGAGACTCACGAGAGTGAAGGCGATGAACCAACTCAGGGTAGCACGGCTAACAACGTGCCCAGCTATGGTATGGAGGATAGGTATAACTATTCGTAGACTATTTCTCACCTTACATGCATGTAGTCCTCGATGACCTTATATTAGATAAGCCGAACTCCTATCATGAGAATCACACACTAAGTGTTTATAGTAATTTTAGTTGGGTGCTAAGTTTGGTATATTTTAGTATAAATGGAATACATGGACGACATTTTCTTTCCTTGCATGACAGATAAATATTCATGTCGCCCTAACGGTTGACATTCCATTTATCTGTCACCCAAATTGCATTCATATCGAGTGTATACTGCATCTGGTAACAGTTCAATGCTTAAATGAATAACATCACACATTGCATCCATATGATCAAGTTATAGTATGGGAACGTAGTTTTTAATTTTCTTGCGTAGTACCGCATCGGGGAAATTTCGCTTGTTGGGGATGAGGAGTAGCAAATTGTCTGCGAGAAGTAAATTGAAACGACTCGTAAAAAGTAGAGGTGAAAACGAACATGAAGAAACTGGGTATATTTCCGACATCTATAGATGCTAATGTCTTGTACTATCACATGTGTGCATCAAAGAAGTAAATGTGATCTTAGGTATTCAAATGATATTAAATTGATGAAAGAGGTAACATTGTATTATATATGCAGGAAATAACATTAGTAATTCTACAATGTACTGTCCCTGAAAGGGGCCGCGATTTGAGATTAAGGTAAATAGTACCTTTTGAAAAAATAATAGCAGGACTGTTTCACTCGTCCCTATCTTATCAGCTATATATTACACCGATGCAAACCAAAAATTGTACTATTTTCTTGTGTAATAATAATAATATACAACATTTGATATAGCGCCCTATCTAGCTAACATAAGCCACTCTAAAGCGCTTTACAGTACATAGATATATAATTTTATACAGTCAATACAATTAACATATATATATTCCTCAATTCAATATTGAGTAATTCGCAGGAGTTGCCTTATCAGGCGCTAACTACTAGTCATATGCCACCTGGCTAATATCTCCCTATGTGTGTATGCCTGTGTGTGAGCTGGAGATGTATTGTGTTCTGTTTGTAGTGGGACCGTGCTTCCAACGGTATCATTTATAGTGCCACCTCACTTGAATCATACAGCACAGATACCGCAACACCCACCCCAGACCATTCTATACTCCACCTGGGTTGTTGGAGTTGTGTGGGCAGGAGAAAAACACTTTCTCTATTATTCCATGCGTACGGTGACTTCACATCGAACCCCTGCCGCCTGCTTGGAAGGCCGGAGTGTTAACCACTCGACCAATATGAGGTATACGGAATACAAAACCTCCATCATCTAGATTGAAACACTTTCCGTCACCATTATAATTGGCGTCGTCTGCGTCGGAACATATGCAGGCGGGACGATTAACTTTTTTTCATAATTAAGACATACTTGGCAGATTGCTTCCAGGTCATTTGGTAAGGATTTTTCTGGTACGAGGCGCGCATCACATGGTTACTTGTCGCTTTTCACCCTTGATCACAATTTCTTTTTATTTTCACTATGTCTCTTACGATTGATTTGTTATCGTAGTAAAAACATCAGTGTGTTTGAAAGCTCGTCTTTTACCATATACTTGTGAGGCCTAAGTAAACGAATGAGCAGACCCTACTACGTATTCCATATCTTAACTGGCGTTGACAATCTGTTATTATTACTTTTATACTCACATTACAAAACTTGTTTTTATAACACGCAATGATACTCAATCTAAACACAGTTTTCGATCCCTCTGAAAGTTTTCGAGTTCCATTTAGACAAACCTGAAACATTGCGTCGGGAATTGTAATTTGAATGTTCTTTATGCTCTTTATTAAGGGAGATAAGTATGTCTTGTAGTTTTAAGGGAGATAAGTATGCCTTGTAGTTTTGTTGTCACACACTGGTATTCACTTTAAGAACGTAGTCCCATATTATATGAGTTGGAAGGATTATCCTGTTATATCATCACTTCAACTGAAACAAGGGTTTATATGCTGGACTCTTTTCATTGACCTAGCTTTAGATAAGTACAGTTCAACAGGTGTTATATAGCTGATAAGGATTATTTATAATCTCGATAAATACAGTTATATAAGAAAAAAGATTTGCATGATTAACTGATCAATAATAATAATTACATTCATATTTTCATATTGAAATAATGTTTCCGATGGATATAGAACTTTGTGTGCTTTGTCAAAGTTTCATCCACTGATATATACTTTTCACAGGAAGAGAAATCAATTATTAAATGTCCACTCAACACACGCGACCAGCAGAAGCAGATCAGTGCTATAACTTCGTCTTTACACAAATGTCAGCGGGAATGATTTAAACTGAATGGATTCACTGGAAACTTAAACACAGAAGGGATTTTTCTGGTACGAGGCGCGCATCACATGGTTATCCTTCTATATTCGTTTGTTAGATTCTATATAATTTCAGGCGTTACATGTGGCATAATATTATTCAACCAGCTGATTACAACATTCTGTTTAGCAAAAGCAGGTTAAGTGCCCTGTATGAGTAGCAGCTTTTATATCCCTTCTGATGGTGCCTACTACCTGGGAATTACAGTCCATTGGCCTCGCATGTTCATTTTGAAAAATTAAATACCCCTTGGTATTATACACTTGCAGGTTTTCTCTTTAAAAGTGTCACATGATTACAGAAACCTTTTTAATACTACAGCGTAGCTTTTCCACAGATATTTTTTATCAATAGCATTGATATGGCATGAAGACTGAGAGTTTAACATCGACTGATTTAATACACGTACTCGCCAACATAAACATCTGTAGCATACTAATAGGTTCAACCACAACAGGCGAAGGAGCAATATATAGGTTACATATTGCTACATATTGCTTCTTCGCTTGTTGTGATTGAACCTATTTGCTGATGGACTCATACTCAGTCCCCTGCATACTTTTGGGTATCCAGACGAGGAACAAAGGACCAAATTATTCCACCATTAAAAAAACCAGGGCGTTGGCTTTACCCTTGCCCTGTATTCTACTATGTACCAGTATTTGCAGTATGTGTTTCAAACATTTAAAACATGCAGAGAGCAGAGAACTTTTTTTTTTTTTTTTTGTTTAACTGAATGTACGATAATTGATATCACTTGTATTATTAATACAGATATTATATGTGCTAAAATCAAATAATCTATTAGCGGGAATTGTTCTTTTCAGCCAGGAGTGTACAGAATGTCTTAGATTTGTTTGTAGACATACACAATGGTCTTGGACATTGAATATTTAATTTTACTCCAATATTCCAGCAGTCCTTTGACTATTAAATTCATACAAATCACAAAATATTGTTAATATAATCTGATTCGTTAATTACAATAATGTTTTTATATGTTTTAGATGATTTTATTTTACTTCATTGACACATTTTAAAAGGAGCTTCTTGTTACTCATATTCAGTTGAGAACTTGTGTTGATTTAAGATTAAACAGTGCTGAAATGCCACCTCAGGTCATCTACAGTTTCAAAACGATCCCCCCCCCCTCCCCCGCCCATTTTATTCTCCCTCTGTGTTTGGGCCTTTGGGCCTCACAAAGGTGGCTTGCGGCCACCTGCCCCATCTGCAGTGGGGGTCTTTTCCCCTTAAATGGAAAAACGGTAGTAGATTTTTTTCCCTGGATGAAGCCCTGAGTCTAAATTTGACAATTTTAAGCAGTTTTCTAAATTTTAAAAAGAATTATTCTTATTTTATAATAAGATTGTTCGCAAGTCTAAAGGGCCAGATAGGTTAGGTGATTCACTAGTCGTTGCTTAAATTTGCTAGTCCAGGACTAGCGGACTAGTGTTAGTGTCGTCCCCTGTTAACGCCGACTTTCTATGTTCTTGTTTTTATCCCCCCGATGGAACACCATGGGTGTCAGATTATGCGCTGGAATGACATATGAAATAACATCAAAAGAACATTGCTGATCGTAATTCAAGCGTAGTCAGGGAGGAAATTTGCGTCATCAATCGATATCTGAGGTCACTCAACGGGGTAAATGTTAGAAAAATGCATCCTGGCCGTTTGATCAGTTTTATTGTATTATAATGCCTACGTTAGCGGTATGATAAGTATGCATAAATGATATATGATTAGGCAGTCATCATTTTACTGGTGAAACGTGTTTCTGTCTCGACCCCAGTACGGAAAAATTAACGTGGGCCACTGGAACAGTCAGTAAACAGGAAAAAACATGTATGATGAACAAAGATCTTCGACTTCCATTCGTTTTGTAGTGTGATCATATATCCTTTTAATAGACCGGAGTGATGCGAGGTTGGTGATTGATTAATGCATATGTAATACGTAATACAGTGTGCTAGCGTTGTCAAATAGTATGTTAAACTACACATATATACTTTACACGAGGCACTCCGTTATGAATACGATATACACGTATCTCACAAACTTCATAAGGACACGAAAGGCTTGCATCCTAGCGTCATCACCCTAATTTACCCAAGGGACGTAACTGTTTGATCAAGGGGGCCATGTGCGGTATAACAAACTAGCTGGGACATTACCAGTCTGTTGAAATCAATTATCAATATATGTTATTATTCAAATCGATTACATATTTCATTACAGTCGTGCTTTTATTTCAACATTTATCTGATATTATATAACTGTCGGTATATGCAGGAATTGTAGCCTGCAAAATATATTATAAATCTATATCGATAAGGAATGGCCATTCGAAACAAAGCCGATACAGCTCTGTATATAGGGATTGTGACCAATACAAATGGCGGTTGTCCGCAGTTTCTATTTCTAAAAAGGGAAACAATTCCCTGATAGCCTGTTTCTGTTTTCTTTGCTATAATTAGGATGTTTTATTAAGCATAGGCCAATCCTAAAGGATCTGTTGCGAACTTATTTAATATCTTGACATACATATGGAAGGGATATATACTATTCATAAACGTTTGTATTCGGATATGAAAGATAAGATATCGACTTAATGTTTTTTGAGAAATTAAAAGTGGTGAATCAGGAAGGTTCCTCGAAATCAGAAAAAATCTCAGTGTTCAATCATTTTCGGAAGAGCCGTTACAGACGGTATTGGGATGCACCACATCATTTAACTCATACAGTGCAGACTGAAAACTGAATTGCGTTTGGATTGAATCAGTTTCTACAAAATTTGAACTAGAATTTGGATACGAATCAGACTATTTTTCTCGCTGCCAAAAGTACAACAGAGACTGCGAGGAGGATATCGAAATACGAGTTACCTCCCGTTAAGCGATCAGCACATATAGTTTCCCTACAGCTATATCTTAAAATGCGTGTTTTTTTTTATTAGATTGTTATGCTTACTTGTTTCCAGCAATCGTGTAAGTACAAAGGTATTTCAGACTTACAACAACTTACATGAGCTTGAAGTGAAAACAAATGGCAGTAAAATGAATCTATAGATAAGAATTCACTACACCGTCTTTCCTTAAATACTCAATGTGTAAGTAATAAGGGAAAAGAACATGTTTAAATGAATTGTAGAATTATAAAAAATATAAATTAAACAATTTCAGTAGCTAAGATGAGATAAAAAGTAGGACGGTTGCAACTTTCATAAAGGAATCTATGAACATTACAGTAACAGATGTTTGTAATTGCAAAAATAGGCATATTTTTTCTTTATATAGGAATAGATGAAAACCTCACAATTGAAAGACAGTATACAACAAATTGTGAACAGAAGCGAACTCGTTTCTTGAAGTCTGTACTGCAAGTAGTTTAAAAAGTTAAAAAGTTAATAAGAATAATACGGACACACTAATATTAAGTATGGACTTTAAGGAAGCTTTGATAAGTTAAGGGAACAAAGAAAAACCACAAAGTACAAGTGAAACGCATAAAACAACAAATGAATAACGATATTTTGAGAGAGAGAAAACTAACAACAGAGTACAATACACAAGAAGACAGAATAGACAAGGAAAGCTAGTAGAACTTAATTTCTCTCATAGTAAAAAATACAAACGAAAGTAAAATCTGTAGATATAAAACCTTCGAACATTTAGCTCTAAGAAATACCAAAGGTACTGGGATTTGGAAATGAATAATAGTATACTCGAACGTAAGAAAAAGTAATGAGTACATGGAAATTGTTTTAATGACAGAGTATAAGCCACTCTAAAGCACTCTAAAACATTCAAACGAATTAAAAATAGCATGGGATCATTGTAAGCTTATAATAAAAAAAGGTATTCGTTATATATTATTATAAAAGTAGTTCAGAAAAAAACATCAAATTTACTCCGGTCAAAATATATTAGAATGGGAAACAATGACTAACAGAACTTGAGGGGAAAACAAAATAAACTGAAATGCTTTAGTATACAATGAATAAGGAAAACAAACTGAAATGCTTTAGTATACAATGTATAAAGGGAACAGACTGAAATGCTTTAGTATACAATGTATAAGGGAAACGAACTGAAATGCTTTAGTAAACAATGTATAAGGGAAACAAACTGAAATGCTTTAGTATACAATGAATAAGGAAAACAAACTGAAATGCTTTAGTATACAATGTATAAGGGAAACAAAATGAAATGCTTCAGTATACAATGTATAAGGGAAGCAAACTGAAATGCTTTAGTATACAATGTATAAGGGAAACAAACTGAAATGCTTTAGTATACAATGTATAAGGGAAACAAACTGAAATGCTTTAGTATACAATGTATAAAGGGAAAAAACTGAAATGCTTTTGTATACAATGTATAAGAGAAACAAACTGAAATGCTTTAGTATACAATGCATAAAGGGCACACACAAAAATGCTTTAGTATACAATGTATAAGGGAAACAAACTTACATGCTTTAGTATACAATGAATAAGGGAAACAAACTGAAATGCTTTAGTATACAATGTATAAGGGAAACAAACTGAAATGCTTTAGTATACAATGTATAAAGGAAAAAGAATGAAATGCTTTAGTATACAATGTATAAGGAAAACAAACTGAAATGCTTTAGTATACAATGTATAATGGAAACAAACTGAAATGCTTTAGTATACAATGTATAAGGGGAAAAACTGAAATGCTTTAGTATACAATGTATAAGGGAAACAAACTGAAATGCTTTAGTATTCAATGTATAAGGGGAAAAACTGAAATGCTTTAGTATACAATGTATAAAGGGAACAAACTGAAATGCTTTAGTATACAATGTATAAAAGGAAAAATTTGAAATGCTTTAGTATACAATGTATAAGAGAAACAAACTGAAATGCTTTAGTATACAATGTATAAAGGGAGCAAACTGAAATGCTTTAGTATACAATGTATAAGGGAAACAAACTGAAATGCTTTAGTATTCAATGTAGAAGGGAAACAAAATAAATGCTTTAGTGTACAATGTATAACGGAAAAACACTGAAATGCTTTAGTATACAATGTATAAGGGATCAAAATGAAATGCGTTAGTATACAATGTATAAGGGAAGCAAACTGAAATGCTTTAGCATTTAAGGGAAACAAACTGAAGGGGATCAAGACGGATTGCGAAATATGTGGACAGGAGAGGGCAAACAAGTATATATTGGAATTGGAAAAAGGCAGGATAAAATGTAATTGATGAAAAAACAAATGATCATAGAAATTCAACGAGAGAGGCACATACACTTTTTTCAAACAATAAAAGACATCTATGAAAACCTAGAAACATTTAAAAATACTAATGAAGAAGCAAACATGCATGTTCATGTTGTTCAGCATAAATCAATGAGCGAAGGTCAACAGTAAACAATGGTGATGAAAACTGCAAAACTATAAAACAGCGTTGAGAGGCATTTAAAATAATGAAACGAAGCAAAACACCGGAAACAAATGGAATTAAGGTTGAACTCTTGGTTGATACAAGAAATTTCGTAACAGAGTTTATAAATGAAATCAATCATAATCAGGAACTTTAACTTAGCAAGAATCCAAAAGATGCTTTACTCTATAACTTTCAAAAAGAAAGCCATTTCAAAAATCTTGTGACCGATATCCCTGATCAATGACTACAAAATTACATCATACACTTTTAAGACAAACACTGACATATCTTTCCAAATAATGATTCACACAGACCAAAATAGATACATATCAAAAACGGTTTTATTAGTTTTAACATACAACAAATGCGGAAAAATAATGATTTCAAGGAACAACGGAGTTGTGAGTGTATATTATTTTGAGATAAATGAGCATAATGAAATATTACGTGGAGTACGTCAAGGGTGTCCTTTTAATGTATTATATAAGTTATTTCAGTAGAATTGCCAGTGGCAAAGGTAACAAATCATACATATTTAGAAAACATAACAATATAGCAAGCACAATATAAAGTCATAGAAAAAATTGAAAGGCTATCAGGGTTGAAAATAAATGAAACCAAAACAGATGGTATCTGATAAAAAGAAATAACAAAAGAATAAAATGAAACACATAAAGGAATTAAATAAAAGTGCTTTGATACATATTTTGGTAAAAAGCTGGGGGGAAAAAATTGAAAAGAAAAAGAAAGTGAACTGAAAAGAAACATTCGTCGACAAAGGAAGTATTGAAAAACTGGAGGAAATGAAAACTTACAACATAGAAGTTGATAGTTAGATATAATTTCTGAAGTTAATGTGATGATGTCAATGTTTCTTACGCGTAAATTATTAATGTTTCAAAAGTTAAGGACTGTAGTGTTCTACACAATTGTTTTTAATGCCAGCATATGCAGTTTCCGGGAAGTTGTTTATGTTTTCCAGATCATTTGATTTGATTGCTACATTATGCTTTATCAAAAATATATCAAAACCCTTTTTTACTTTGAACAGTGATAGCCTTATATGATTTGATTACACGATGGAAACATGGTAATTGTATAAATGTGTATAACCAACAATAAAGTAATAATTGTAGTAATGACAACGCTTTAAAATATAACTTATATTATTACTACTATGCTTGATCGATGCAATTTAAAATAGGTATCATTTATTTGTGATTGTGATATATCACTTAAATGACCTACATATATACACATCTCAACATTCCACAAGACATTAATATTTTTCTCATGTTTGTAATTGATAGCAACTCCATACAAACACAAATCATTGTCAAATCATCATTAATTCGAAATCATAGCGAACTGGAATTTGCAGTAGTTGATTGAGTGTTTCCTGGCTGAGAATTCGAAGATGTTGTATATCTCTGCTTTTTGCCAAAGACTAAGACAGTGTAATAACTGAAAACTCTCCTGTTTAAAACAAAACTGGCTAAAACAAATAATCCTTGACACGCGGTGGCTATTGTCACCAGGAAACTAAAAACCGACACAGGAAACAATGTATCGACAACCAGTAAGATCCACGTTATTCCAGTTACAGAAAATAGTTTCACGTAGATGACATACTGATTCCGTCTTTCCTTGGTGCTATCCACTTTTGGTGAATTCTTTATTTGTATAGCTGTTTTTATGAAAAAATAAACGTTACTGAAGCAAATGATTAACACTGGCGCAAGAAATGTAAGATAAAACGAGACATTATTACTGATAAAACATCGTGTTTCACCGTAACCGATGTTATTGTCATGAGATGTGAGATAAACAACGATGATATTGATGAAAACTATGGCTGCCGATAATCCATACGAATATAAGATATACAGTGAAATCCTCCTCTTCCAGTTCCATGCTGATAGTCTTCCTGCCATCATATCACCAGCGAAAACACTATACATATGAAACGAACAAACGTTCATGCAACCAAATGTAGATAGCCAAAATATGTGGATTAAAACACCAAACACTATGCATAATGTAGGTGCAGATGTTATATAAAAACCACACTGGAAAAGCAGTTGGGCAAAGAACATTGCAAATACCAAACTCATGTTGTTCATTCCTGGTAATGAGCGCATGGCAGGAAATACGCAGTAAGTTATGAATGTTAAGAAGAGACATACGAGGGATATGACGTTACAAACTAGCGTTGTGATTTTAAGAGCACCATGCAACGGTGGCTCACCAAAACCAGTCACAAAAGAGCCGTTAAATATATTTCGAAAATCATTGAGACAAATTCGAACTTTGTTATCTATCAACAAAAATTGATCTTGGTAAAGTTTCCTTGTTGATTTCGACACTGACATTTCTAAAGTTGATTCATCCACATCAAATTCATCCTCCTCTAGTTCCACCTGACGGCAGAGTAAAAGTGGAGACACCAGTGACGTCTGATAGTTATTGTGAAGACTGAAGGCAGTTTCGCGTATTGTTTTACTGTAACAATGGTTCATAAAACTGATTGCATTCACAAGTGTTGGTAGCATAAATGCTTCAGACGTCACAGAGGATTGCAGAGCGACATTTTCAAAAACGTAATTATTATTCGTCAAGTTAAGTAACGTCTGTTCTGTAAAAAGTCTATCAACATCATCTGATATGAGAAATGTTGTATGCACCGTAAATTTCAATCCCTCAGTGTCGTTTGAAATCACATGATCACACTTCATATTCACCATTATATGAAACGAATCAAAAGAGACACGTCCGACGTTTCGCGATATGTTATCTTTGATATTTCTCATCATCATCTCCAGCAGATTCTGTGATGACATTGTTAAAGTGACGTTCCCTTCCAAAGAAACAGCCACCGTATATCGGAGGTTATTTGTTCTTTTCAGCAAGGGTTTACACGTCTTATTTGTGAGCACTTTGCCTGGATAGCACGTCAGCCGACGTGTCTTATTCTGCAAAAAAGTAAAAGTATAATGCATCACTCTTGTTATAATGTAAAATCTACAAAACGTTGATATTATAACAAGCTGTATTTATAAAATATTACTACAAAACACTGACAACATGCTATATTTTAATACGTCACAATTTGTTTCCACATCAAAATAATTTGGGCATACTGCTTGTGTCTTCGTTTTTGGCTGCATTGTTTTTAAGTCTGATAACTTAGTGGAAGACAACCTTTTGTTAAGTATACGTTATTTTTTATTTTAACACTGTTAGTCTACTATGTTTTTAAATAAATGCCAATTTGTATTCTACTTTTTACTTATTCAATTGGACAATATGTTATTACAAATACGATTTTATCACAAGAAACGATTTTCTTATTGATTTTCCGCTATCAACATTTCCCCATGATTATGATTGTGGATTTGATATAATATAACAACAATATCAAATAGTGTATATAATTTTTTTTTTTTTTTTTTTTATTCGGCACCCGGGCGCCATTCTTATTAAAAAAATGATAGTTAGGTAACAAAATGTTATAAATAGCATCTAAATATTATGATTAACATTTGAAAAAAGCGATTTCATATGAAGGACAGTTTGCATAAAAGATATTCTTTTCATTGGCCAGGTAAATTAAAGCTGGTATTTTAAAACACATTTCAAAGGGATGAACGCTTTATACGTACATTAAGAGTGTTGTATATTTCCTCGTCGTTGGCAAATGTCAGAATCTGTATTTCGGCTTCTACGGCTAATTGAGGTCCACGGACTCTGGGCGAAAACATATCTCGTAACGATGGCTGTACTCTCGGCTGTTTGGGAGGATCAAAATCAAAGGCGCTTGATAAACGAGGACGCCATAAAAATGGTGGCATAATTGTCATGTTTATGTTAGAACAGAGTGAACAGAAAACATTCTTGTATTGTTGAAATCCAGGAACCATAGGTAAATTGTTGCATAACTCAATGATGCTTTCTCCATAATATTGGTCTTCGCTTGGTACCGAACACTTGTTAATGGAATCGTTTTTGGGTAATGACGAAGGGTTATTACACAAAAAACAGAATACATTTTTATAGCGATGGCGGAAAGGAGGAAGAAATTTACCCCAACTTTCACAGGCTGATTGTATATCCGGGTCCAACTCCATCCATACTCCAGTCACATTACACTTTTCAATGAGTACAGGACTACTTTCACAATACGTCTGACTCATTTGGACATTTTCCTTGTTTCTGTCCCTCGGAAAGATACGCACAGCGCAGTCCATGCTTTTTGCAGTCTTAATCAAATCATTTAACATAACATGGAAGCGTGCGTTAATTTCAGATCCACATTCTATCTGAACATGCCAAGGCATGTAGGCTTTTTGTTCCATCTCAAACGAGTTTAAATGACACCACATACAATCAAAATTCTTGTAAATTGAATTTCCATGTGTCACCGGAAGGGTACCAAATATGTCATCCGTGGAAATTCCACATCGCAATTGGGATTCGTCGATAAAACTACCTATTTCTTGTTGTCGGCATTGGTTCACTGCTCCATATGGTTTCGATTCTTGTTGTTCCACTAAAGACGACTCTACCAGAAAATCATTGAAACAAGCTGTAGGGGCCTTCAATAATATATCGAAACAACAAAAGGGAGGTCTTTCGCGAAACAGACATGTTTTCATATCACATGAACAATCCATTTTCTCATAGACCGAGTACTTATCCTCACAGTAAGAACTTACACCATCAATGGCATAATGATAGGACACAAGTTTAGTGGTATTCCACGCTTTCTGAAGCAGTGACATTGGTTCATGAATTTGACTCAAGTACATTCTCGTCTTCGATTTTTCCAAGACAGAGTGATAAAAGTCCAGATTATACCCCGAGAGAGTAACATAATAGGTGTAATATCTACTTGTCCCCTCTACCATGGAACTAGTCACATCAAAATATTGATTAGGGTTTGTGTTGTTCCTGTTACAAAGAAAGCAGAAAATGTTCTTGTAAGGCTGAGTGTTTGGAGTCCAGTCGAGTCTGTTACATCCTCTTTCTATGGACACATCGTATGGAGACCATATTCCGGACTCATTACACGTATCTATTAACTCATCTTCGACAAAATAGTCAGGGGGATTACAAATAAAGCAAAATATATTTCGGTGGTTTTTATAACTAAGTTTGTAGTTATTCGAACATGCTGATTCGATATCACGATCATAGTATGCCCATGTGCCTGTAACATTGCACCATCGTTCCAAAGGTTCAAATAAACCAGTAGGGCGCAAGAATGTCCCATGACATTTATGCATGTCACGTGGGTCTGTTTTGTACTCCAATTGGCAGTCCTTAGACTTAGCGGTATTGAATAAAGCGTCATAAGACGACAAGAAATTCAAATCAACAAAATCGAAGCACGACACATCAATTTTCCACTCTGTGTAATTGTAAATTCCATTGCATTCAGCACAAAACTTATTACGGAACGAAAAAGTATATTTCGCTGATGTGACGGGCGGAAACTGTAATGACTCAATATCCGTGTAGTTCATTGTACACTTTTCTTTGAGTTCTTTTGAAGAATTGTCGTGGCATTCTACAACGACGTAGTGATTTGACTTCCTGTTGAAGCTGTCGTGAGTGAGCGAGGTAGTTACACATTCGTCTTCAGGCATTGAAAACATAACATCCGGACAGCAATCTCTACGTATAATACAGTGTTTGTCGCATTGACATTCGGGACATATGTCTGTTTTAATGTTACTTTCGAATTCAGTAATGAAGCTGTAATGTTGTTTGTCACAGATATATTGAGGACCACACACTAAATAATATTCATATATTAAATGTGTCAGATTGTAAATCAGTCTTGAAGAAGATTCCCGAATGTGGAGAGGTAACTGACCTGTTTCATTCGGAAACGTTTGCGAAGGGAGGATGATATTACCTGCTATTAAAATGTAAAGTACAATCTGTATTTCTTTACACGCCATCTTGATCTTTAGATAGCTCGCAATTCTATTTTATCCTGTAGCGAAAAAAAAAGAATAAGATTATTATAAAATCAAATCTAGAGAATGACAAAATACAATGAGTAAAATGTATCATTGTTTTGTTTATATATTCATGCTGTTGAGTTTAAAACACATTATAGTAGTAGTAATAATTAGATATACGTGATCGATAACTCATAATCATAGCTTTCGGAAGCACAACTAGTTAATAGGCAATGCTTTTTGTTTGTAAGTCACAGCAACATAATAGGAGGTCTAACAGTTGAATTGGAAGGGAAATATAATTCACATGACGTGTTGTATATCTACATACATTATAATGATGTTTCTCTACATACATTATAATGCTGTATATCTACATACATTATAATGCTGTTTTATATATAAACTGTGGATTTCATACTGTGAAACATGTAATTGACTTTTTTCATAAAATAGTGAAGTAGTAATTCAAAAACCCAAACAAAGCAGTTTTCAAACAGACTCGTTCAGGTTTAAATATCAGTACGTTGGGTATTTTTGTTTATTATTGATACGATACACGATAAATGTAATGATTGTTTGTTACTGGCTACTCAAAAGCCTTTACTATGTGACAATATGTGGAGAGATTGATCTAGGATCTTATAACGCCTCATGATATATTAATTTTTCCGAACATAACAATAAGTTAGCAAACTGATTGATGATTATTTTGCTGTATTTATACAGTGAGTTATACATGTTTATAACGTCACAATGACGTTCCTGTTTTTCCTGGATTCCACGTGCCATATATAGTACGCGGTTAACAGGTCATCAGTATAGTATTTCTGAACCCCATGACAGCGGCATGGCCCACACCTGTATGACAAGCACTATAACTCACATTTCATTAGCTATATATACATTGGCTCAATCAAAATAACTTACAACCTAGAATTATTATTATGTGGCATTATAGAATTTGAAATATTTGGAAACAAAATTAACAAAAATACACATGTTTACACAGTCGAGTATATTACCTCTTATTTCTTGTAATGGTTTTTGTTTTTTAAAAAGTTTGCTGATTTCTTCATTAGATTATTTAGTTAGGATAAAGATATTAATTTAATTGGATACACGTTTGTGTTTTTATGTTAAAGTGATATGCGTATGCAAACCGTAAACATTAAATGAAGATATAAACGAAACTGATATAAAAACACGATAACAATGGTTGAAAATGGATTCGCACCAATCAGAGTTCACTACAGCAAAACTATGATCGATTGTATAAAGTAAAAAGTAAGTGGACTGATATATCTGACGTTGAAATTTAAATTGTGTTTTTAAAAAACCCAACATCATCCTATTATAGAATCTTTAATGGTATAATGATATACTACGCCAATTCATGAATATAACGGTACAATGTTACAAATATTTCATTGATTAAAGGTACGAATGGTACTTACCGTGAGTAAGTAAGACTGTGTTGGCGAGGAGCATAGGACACAACTCTGCCTTACTGTCGTCTGCAACTTAGTAATACACTACACGCCTCCTACACTGGCTAAGACAGAGGATGCGGGAAAATCCAAACTGTTTCCAGCATTTCTTTGCTCCTTTAAGGTCTATGGTATGTAGAAGTGGTATTGAATAAACACTGAACATCATAACTCTGGTTAGTCACTGGAACGCTTACTCTTCTTGAGCACATGGGTTTTCGTATAGGATTCCGACACGTTGATGTCTTCTCCGTTCCTGTTGATTTTCTTCCTGTTCTTGCACAAAGTAAAGTATTGGTCTAATCCTCATATATTAAAGTGTCTACAATTTAATCAATGAGACATAAAAAACGCATGTAAGATTATTTTAACCATCACTATAGTAAACAACATTGTGATTTGATAAACAACAAAAGTATACTTTTGTAAAATTACACACAACGCATAACGAGCTAAACATTTGAAAGATGGGACATTTCTAGTCCATTTTTCCCAACTTGCCTACAAGACCACGTGTGATTTAAGATTGATGAACGCCTGTTAATGAGATGGTACATGAGGCGGTAAACAGGTAACATTCGCCAGGGGCTATGTAACAGCTATGTTTGTATATTCTCTATTGTGTTACTACATAAACCCATATATAAAAAAAAACAATTCTTGAACAAACCTAGTTAATGAATCGTAATACAGGTAATGAAGTTAAAAAAGTATAATTAGTTTTTGTGACATTAACTGTAGAAAAGGGGAAATTTACTTTATTAGGGGATGAACCTAAGCATTTTGATATTTGAGGCGGTATACCGTGATTACACTATCGCAAATACGGTTTTACGGTAGGGTTATCCCAATTTGTATTCATATCAGCTACAATCACCGAAAGAAACGTAACGTATTTGTGCGTTTTCTTCAGAACTTGGTCTTTCTGCCGTGAAATGGTGGCGTAAGGGATATTCAAAATGAGGCTGAATCACATTGAGCTTTCGGGGTCACGCTATTGTGCCTGATACGCTAAAATTTTTAGAGTGCCAGTTTTCACTCCTATTGTTTCCGTGTTGGTTAATGGTGGTTTCTTTCAGTGTTGTTGTCGCCTCAATTCCAGTTATGTTTGTCTTTTTTATCACCTGGATACGTAAATGTGTAAGTGGTATCCTGTTTTGTGTCCAGTAGGTAACCTGACGTTTTCAATCCTAGAAACACACAAACACAGTTGTTTATCTTATAACTTTATTTACCTGATATCATCTTCTCAAGATCTCACGAGTTTCAATACCGTATATCGTTATATGTACCAATACTTACAATATAATAATCATGTTTGTATAGAAAAATGAAAAATATGCATATGATAATGTTGAGTCCATCGTTCATGTCATTATTACCTGGTGCAAATCCATCATACTAACGATGAAACTTAGTGGTAATATATAATTGTCTGTCATGTGAACTAATGTTTCAAATAACTCTCGTTTTTATGATACGATCCGATGTCGGATCCGGAGGCAATACATGTCTAGAGGTTCATAAGGGACAATTTTTTAAAATGTTTTCTGTTAATTATTTGGAGAATTTTTCAATAAGAGCTTATTGAAATCATTTAGAATGATGAAGGTATCGCAATGGTTGCTGTGTTTACATCGGTTATGTGGAAACACACAATTTCAAATGTCGAAGGACGAGGAGGACTTGGAAGTTGTTTATAAAGACGAATAGGAGGAGGAGGACGCGGATTGGACTCTTCGGAGGAGGACGCGGATTGGACTTGAAGGATGACGATAAGGAGGACGAGGACGACGACGACAAGGAGGACGCGGAAGTGGACTCGGGAGACGAGGAGGACGCGGAAGTTGTTTAGGAGGAGGAGGTTGGCTCGAATGACGAAGAGGACGCGGAGGTCGAGAAAGACGACGAGGAGGACGCGGAAGTGGACTACGATGACCAGGAGGACGCGGAGGTGGACAAAGACGTACGACGAAGACGACACGGAAGTGGACTAGGATGAGACGGAGGAGTAACAACAACTATGTGTAACACAACATTTGGTTGTACAGCACTCGTATAACAGAGTGCAGATCAGACATTCTGATAACCCTTATCAATCAATATTAATATTTTCAGTGTACGATTGTTTTCCCAATATACATACGGTATTAAGTTATCCAAATAACGTAAAGGTTGTAATTCCCCCTTTGTACTTTGCGCTTCGATTGTTAAAGAGTATTCGATTGATGATGGTCCATACATGTGTCTAGACGTAAATGCCAAAGTCTGCTATCAGTTAATCCATTTCTAAGGTCGGCAAGCAAATGTTATACGAAATGAGACTTTAAAAGACCACTCTTTACCACCTCCTTATTAAGATTAACTATATAATCTATGAATTGCTTAATCACATTGGAGAAGCTGATTAATTTTCTCCCATACTCTTTTAATGTAATAAAAGCACAGTATTCCTAACAATTGTAATGTTGATCCAAATGCTACGTGCGTCATAAATGGCACATACAGTGTTGCACAAGGATAGTTTCTCCTCCTTTTTTTAGAAAAAAAGGGTTACATTCTAGTTGCATGTTTTAGATAGATATATTTTCCCCTAGCTTATTGCGAACATATCTGTAAAGTGTGTGAGAAAACCCCCATTAATAACAGGCTTATAACTTCTTTATTATGACAAAATAATTCGTTACTCTGATACCACCACGGTTCTAGAGCGAACCCATATATTAATCAAAAGTACGTGTCGTCACCACCTCTGTATCAGGTTAACCCCTTCTACACTCCTCGTTACCTGCAACCCTCTTTAACGCCTCGGGTCTCATTTCTCCCTTGGTATCGCCTCCGTAGCAGGAAATTGGCAACAGGTGATACTGTTTACACTGCAAAACATCTGTGTACCGAACGGCAAAGTAATTAGTTAATGTTATCATCGCACGGCACACACATTATGAAAATAAAAAAAAGAATTATGTTGTCGACATTTTCCACCTGAATGAACTCCCTTTTCCTTTTTAGTCTACGGAGGCTAATGTAGCTATACAATATGAACATTTACAAAAGTCAAAGATAGCCCACGGTACTTTCTGTTTTTATTGCATGCATTGATATACGATCCTTGTTTAAAAAAATAAAATCTGGTCTATTTCATTGGAACGGTATAGGTCTTATAAAAGAAGTAACCCTAACGTATTGAATTCCCATCCCGAATGGCTATGGTCACCAACAATACCACGTTAAGTTTTGTATTTTGTATGGTAACGGACGGGTCTATCTTAAATATGAGGGTTGTCAGCTTATGTCTCGACATGCTTGTACCGTCAATGTACAACCACAAACAGTATTTTAACATAATATAAACTATCTTTATTTCACACAACAATATTTTGAAACAAATTTCTTCAGTTTATTTTATTCATGTTTGCCCGGATTGAAACAGTCAGGGGTCTTAATGTTTGAAGAAACCGGAGACACGGGGAAACCCTACGAGGTCGGGCAGATGACCCTATACCTTTTCACGTCTGATAGGGTAAATAAACCCCGTCTTCTGGTGTTTTTTTGTTTTTGTTTTTTTGTTAAACGTCCTATTAACAGCTAAGGTCATTAAGGACGTGTCCAATGTGTGTTGTGTATGCGTGCATGTGTGTATGAGTGCAGGAGACAGGATATGTTGATGTACTTGCCTCCTTATACTGACAACGGGTGAACCACATGTTGCCATTACCATAAATGCTGAACGTTAAGCAGGAAAAAACAAATGCACTTTTTAAGGACTTTGGTATGTCCCGGACTGGTAACAGAACATATTGCCTTCCACGCCTGGGCGAACGCTCAACATTAAAGCCAGAAGCGAGGTTTTGCCAAGACAAGGCGCTAATAAATAAAAGGTAAATAAAGGAAGAAAGATTAAGATCCCAAATGTTGCAATGTTGCTATATTTTTGTCGCTTTCGTGTCCCCAAATAGAGGGCACAGAAGCAGTTCCCTAATTCTGCAGGGGGTTCAACGCATTAGTCGCCTTTTGCGATACAATGCAGTGGGAGCAGGTGTTAAAGGCGAATGCGCTATCCACTGCGCCAATATTTGAATCTATCGTTATTGATATAGAATATGTTTGTGGTAATTAACCAATAAAGTTCAGTTTCGTTTGAATCATGATTTTGTTTTTTAAAACAGCGAGAAAGCATCTTCAACAAACGTTCATCCTTTATACAGTATTTATTCAACGGTATATCTTTTATTAATGCCATATGTTCTTATAGCATACATGAAACACGTACATGGTTTCGACGCCCTCTCATTGTGTTTTAGAGAAAACATAATAAGGGCGAAACTTCATATTTCTCGTGATTGATACCTGCTCATCACAGGTCTTATTCTCCTGCATAGATAGTTCGTGCAATTCTCATTAATGTTTATAAGGAGAGCCAATCAGTGAGTAGTGCAATGATAAACAATATTAGCTTTCAGTTTTAAGTTGTTTATACATTATTACACGCATTAGAATGTTTATCGGCCTTTTCTTTGCTCATAGTGATAGTCAGCGCGTTAAAATATGGGTCTTTAAGCGTACTAGTGTACATATACGAAAAAAGATGTATTATTTCTTTACAGAGCAATCGACAACAGCCAGGCCGGATGTTGACATGGCAATACAAGAACCAGAAAAGACAAGCATACTATGTATCATCGATAACTACATTTATTTCCAGCTTTTAGATACGTTTTGTTCTTCATTGCTTGCGTCAAATACAAGGAATAAACGTGACGAAATGCGACTTTATCTTAGCTCGAAATGGAAGAGTCGGGTTTGCTCTTTAAACAGAGTACAATGCAAAAAGAACTTGTGTTATTTATACCGTGTCTATCCAAGGTTGGTTTTGGTTTCCTCATTTCCGAGACTATATTCATTAAAGGATCGAGGACTGAATTGAAATGAGGCGTATATAATATATGTATATATGTATTATTTAACGTTTTAATGTAGAATGTCGTTTTTTCATTTATCTGAGGGGTTTCCTGATCATAGACCACCGTACAACTACTGTAACTTAAGTGGGTATTGTATCAAATAAATTGTATTAAGCAAGAGTTTAGATCACCTTGGACATATCATGTTCACTGAAAA